GCTGGAGCACGGTGAGTGCGGATTCTGCTCCTGTTATTCTACTGTGCGGAAAGGTAAACGTCTTTGGGTTGCTGGTGCGGCCTTTTCACACGTAGTTGTTTGACATAATATGCACTCATACACCTATGTTCACATATGCATCATCCAATGTATAACAGGATTGCATCATATCAGTTTGCCCACTTGTGTTTATTAGCAGGGTTCTATTAATTCTGAGATATCTTCTTTTCCAAGATAAAGATTTTTTCTACTACTTAGTAATTCCTATTTCTTAATTTCACTAGTCATTTATCATATGAAAATATTGTGATTATTGTTGGTTTTATGCAAATAGTGATTAGAAATATGCCTGGCATACCTAGAACAAACCCAGGGAAAAGTGTAGTATAAACACCCTAGCTGTGGAAGGTGAGAGGTTGGAGCTCAGGCTGCTACTCCCATCAAACTAAAAATCAGTTGCCACCCTCTTTCTCATGCTCTCTGCTCCCTGTTCCTTGGTTTCCACAGAAAGGAGACCCAGAGATAAGCTGTCCTTAGGAAATGCTGACTGCTCCTACACGCACTTTGCTGAGGATGAGTTTGCCCCCTCAGCAGCCCAGAGAGTAATCTAAACATAAAAAGATCCTTGATATCATTTCACCATAAAAGCATAATCTAAGATAAACAGTTACTATAAGAGTGGAAACAGTGTGAATTTATTACCTACATTCTATGATTTGGAGCTTATAGTTGGATTTTGTCTGAAGAATGGAGTTTTATTACCCCATGTTTATGTCTCAGTGTTTGGCTGCATTTCCAGGGGACACTTCTTCTGTCACAGGACATAACTAAGTCCCTTTGGTCATGAGAGTCAGTGTCTCAGGCTGGGATTCACCTCACCTAAATTAGACTTCAAAAGACTAGACATTTAACCTAAGCCTAAAGTCAATGGAGAAACTCTCCATCGATTTTTAAAGCAATCAGCTTTGACTGAAAGCCTCCTGGCTAATACCTACTGGAGCGAAGTTCACTCTGCCTGTATCGTGAGGGTAGTTTATATTATTAGAGCAAAGATGCTATTTTTGGAGAGGAGTTGCTCCTTGTAAAATGTGACTGAGCAAGCACGGTCAAGTCTAAGAATAGCCCTGGGTCCCACGGTGGCTTAGAGGGGCATCCTAGAGCCTCAGTGCGGCAAGCCTGTGGGAAAGGGGGGGGAACGTCAGACAGGATATTCTGCTGAAGTGATAATGTTTAAGCATCCGTGAAGATAACCTTGTGACAAACCATAAGCTTCTTTTTAAGGAAGTGAATCATTTCTCTTGGGGCTGTAGTGTTTGGTGACTGTTTGTTTATTTCTTTGACTGGCTATGCATGCTGCACGTTCACAGATAGCTTTTATTTTGTGCAGAAGCTGCTTGCCCTAGATGTGAATGACCTTTGCCAAGAGCTCCAAATGAAAGAGTCTTCCTCTGTACCAGAATCGTTTTGCCCCTCAGGACCTCCTGGCCCCCAGGTGAGCGACACACTGGTGACAAAGCCACATTGCACACCCACTTCTTCCAAAGACATCACAACAGTTGAAACATTTTCCATAAATGTTTTTTGTCACTTGATAAACATTGAGATATGGCTTATTTTTATTTTGATATGAGTATACCTAACTAACTCATGTAGGCTTTCTGCTCCTATATTCTCTTCCCTGCCTGGCCTACCCCAGTCTGCTTCAAGTTTACTCTCCACCTCCATGGACCCACAATGGGAAACATCAGTGAAAAAAAAAAAAAACTTTGTTGGTTTCCTCTCTGCTTTAGACTCTGCTGCCTTTTATGTGAGCAGAAAGCCTGTGAAGCTTGAACACAAGAGGTGCCGTGAACCTACAAGTTAGTGGAGAATATCCCTGGTGAGGCAAATGCCTCAATATAGATCAGAGAAAAAGGAGGGCTTTTGCAGAGACCAACGGAGTAGGATCCAGGAGATGAGGTATCTTTTAGCTTTGTAGAGACCTACAAAGTCTCTGCCTCTGACTAGCTATGTGGGCTCTGACCATTCCCTTTGGGCTCCCATTTCACTTTTCACTGTTTATCTGTGTAGATAGACTGTAAAGAGGGAGGCTAGAAATCTTCTGAGGAAATGCTTTAGTTCTAGAATAGCTGTTTTTGTAAATGTCTCCATCTGTATTCTGGAGAGTATCACCCACTTGCCTTTTTGTTTCCATTCATCCCTCCAAATTGAAATCAAACTTTATGGAATAGGGATCTTCCTCAAGAAGTGCTACTTTGGTGCTACTACAGCACAAATAAGAGGAGGCACAGGACCCACACTGCAGCAGGCGCTCACGGAGCAGAGCTACACCTGAGCCTTCAGGAACCTGAGAAGACAACGAGGACCCACACGCCGTTTGAGAAGCAAGGACAGGGCACCACAATAAAGAAAAAGAGAAGTTTAGTTCAGTGGCAAAAAGCTTAGTTTTAATTACTGAAATGGCAATACTCCATAAGATATTAATAAATAGTCTAGAAAATGAAAGCCATAAAATCTTGTTTTATAAGCTTTGACTTCAGTATTCTGCCCTTTTGTCTTTGCTGAGGCAGAAGATGGAGCAAACTCATTTAGCATGTGGGTTATGGAGGGCGTAGAGGGGTGACAAGCAAATGAACAGAGTTGTTTTGTCTTGTGTTGAGAAGAGTCTTCTCTACATTACAAAACAGTCCTGCAGTGCAGCTGGCAAGGAGCCAGAATAGCAGTAGGTACAAAAGAAGCAGGAGTTATTTCAGTCCTCACTGTATTGCCTTTAAAAAAAAACATAATATTATCTCTGGCTTAAATTGAAGAAACAGTAATATTCATTGTACTGTCTTAAAATGTCCTTCGTTATAAATATTAATCTTGCAACCGAATGATCTGTGATCCCTCCAAGAACATACTAAATACAGCGAGCTGACAGATTTTATGGCAGTCACAGACAGTAAGATTGGTATAACCTGGCTCTGGGATTTTTAATTACCAATTGTGGGAATGTGTTTTCTAAAGGGACAATGTTAGGTCCAGTAGTTCTTTTGGTAGTACTTTTATGATGGGGGTCATGTGAAAAAACAAATGATGCTACTGTAAAAAAATTTAAAGTATTCATGAATTATTTTATTTTGTAACTTACATTACTTTCACATGAGTTGAACAAAACTCTTTGTGTCAGAGCTGTGTTTTAACACTTTTTCATAAGGAGGAGAGTTACATTTGTAACAGTAAAACTCAGGATTATAATTCCTCCTGTGTGTAACCTAAGGCAAATGAAAGAAAAGACAAAACTTGGCTCTGACTCCAGTAAGATACATTCTGATTTACACTATTGAAAATGTAAAATAACAGGAAGCAATTTGCAACTGGGGGTACAATTCGCTCCTATCTGCATAAAATTTACATGAAGATTTGGATAGTATAAGACAGCCAGGATGCAAAACTGGAGTAATTTGTATAGTAAGGCTAGTGCTCCTCTTATGAAGACTTGGGGAATTCCTTTTATTCATTAAAAAGAAAAATGTTTCTTTTTTCTGAGCTGGGATTCAAGGTCTCCCTGGGTTAAGAATTCTCCTGAAAGGAGAATCAGCTTAATTTGAGAGAGAGAAATATATTCATGTACTTAAAGAAGAGGCTTGTGAGGCTCAGTCAGTCACTCTGCAGCCTGCTTTCAGCAGTGGACTCAGTTTTTATCAAAAATGTGAGAAATAGAAAATGTGAAACACCATGTCCAGGCACCCTTATCTCATAAGGTTACACCAGCCCCAAGAGATACGACTGGTTCCATGGGTCAAGGCAAGGCAACAGCCCATGATTTCTTCCCAGAATCATTTGATAATGGCATTCACTTTTCTCCCTAGGGTCCACAAGGAATTCCTGGTATAGCAGGACCAAAAGGAGAGAAAGTAAGTACTTGAGGTTAAGGAGTTTGGGATGTTTCTGAGGGGACAAGGAAAGAGATAAGGGGTTCACATTCTGTTTTTCCTCCTCATTTGCTTAAATTTGAATTGGAAGTTGTGGATCAACTTGAGGCTATAATTTAAAAACTCATCTCCCTCTTGAAGCTTGAAATACCTTGGAATATTTTTGTCTAGCTCTTCCTGATAACTGTCTGTGTCTACAGAGGGCATCAAGGAGACAGCTCAGCAGCATGAGTGAGCAATGGTACGAGTGCAACAAGGTCCTAGGAAGACTTGGGGATCTCGGCTCACCCGGCAGCGCCTGTTGTATGGGTCAGGTTCGCTAGGAAAAGTAGGGGTATGAACTGTATGTTCAGTTAGGGGTTGAGATCTGCAAAGCATTTACTCCATAATGAGGCTTGAACATCTTTATGCTGGAAGCTGGGCATGTATATAAATGTTTTGCTATAGAAGAAAGTGTAGATATAGAAATAAGAACACAGAGAAGAATCAGGAGCTCTGTTAGATCTTCTCACTCTGCCTTTGGACGCAAAGTCTTGGACACAGGGGTGTTCCTGGTTTTGCTTATACGTGTGTTGACTAATGAGCCACCGTGCTTCATGGGGCGTCCACGCGACTAACGCATTCCTTTCTCTTACAGGGGGAGATTGGCAGACCAGGAAGAAAGGTATGAAATAAGGTGCTGTCTCAGATATCAGCCTAATAAATAGCAGTTGTAGCTCAGAAAATACTCAGAACTCAGAAACTTGAATAACAACTAGCTAATGTTGAAGTCTAACCTGCTTGTGCTGCTTCTACTGCTGCTGGAGATGTGAGACAGGGAGCTCAGGGCCCAGGGCTGAGGAGCTGGGCCCTGTGCATTGGAGAGCCCTTGTGGGTGGTCCGAATTTGATAAATTCCCCTGGTAAGAACATATGGCTCTAAACAGGCAATTAAAAGAGAATGAGAAATAATATGAACTAGGTTACGTCCACTAGGGCCTTGTGGACAGGGAAAGCAGAATACCGGAGCTATCATAAAAGGTATATTTAAAAAAAAAAAAGCAGAATCAATTTTTTTACTGTTCCAAAGTCAAAACAAGGTTCAGCTGACTAGCCCAGAAGGAGGAATAATCGTTAATGATTACATTTATAGAGTTTTGGCATGGACACAATGTGCCGACTACAATCCTATGCTGAGTGACATATGAGCTATGATATATCGTAAAAAATATGTGCCCCTACGTGTGATGAAACAGAATATGTTGTCTCAGTGGCTAAGTGCTTGCATTTAATGTAATTAATTTTAAAAGAAGACAGAAACGCAGGGTGAAATCAGAGATATGCAGAGGTTAGGTCACCAACCAGGAAAAGAAGTGCTGTTCTAAAAATATACAAAATCTTTTTAAAGCAGGTAAAAGTTAGTAATTCAAATCAATGTGAAATATGCAACACAAGTGGTATTAATTAGTTCATCTAAATCACAGACATCCTACAATAGGCAAAAAATATTCTCTGTATGAATTCACATGTTCAAAACTGTAACATTTCAGAGAGAGTCACTCAAAAATGTGCAACACCCGAATATCTTCGCCACTGCAGTACTTACTCTTCTGACAAAAACTATTAGGTTCCAAAAGAGTAGTTGTCCATATAAAGACTGGGAATAAAAGCAGTATAATTCCTCCTAAAATCCATGTGGCTTATGTGAGGTCACTCTTACGCTCCAATATCATGGTTGGGTTTCTAGGGCGATATAGTCCAGTGGTATAGAGCACTAAGTGGGGTACCTTAATTTGTACCAGTTTAGGATATAGTCAGAGTGATTTACAAGCAATAGGTATAACAAATAACCATATATATATAATTATTGCTATTTATATAACTAAGTAGCTGATACTAAAGAGCTATACTATGATAGTATACTTACTATAGTTAGTAACATACAAATACTCTTAATGAGAATAATAATAAATAAGAATATCTTAGGAAAAGATTTGGTACTATTCTTAGTGTAAAGTAGGCTCGTGCTAACAGAATTACATGGAGGTCTTTTTTTTTTTTTTGACTTACACTGTACGAAATAAAAGGAGGATTTATGTTATTGATCCTGGGTTTTTAGGATGTTTATTTTGACTTCAGATAGATTTCCTCTGCCATTCATCTATATTATTTGACTCAGTTTCACTTAGTATTTCTGGGAATACCTGTTTTCTCTCTTTATGCAAACTACATTATGAATAGAATATAGTAACTATTTCTTAGGCTTAAAAAAAAAAAGAAGAAGAAGCATTTGAAGTTCTGTATTCCTCCATGTCTTCTGAAAGCAGTGGAAGCCTATGTTTTGGAATGATGCTAATTGAGTTTATTGTAATAACTGATGCTTTCCTTTCAAGGGTAGACCAGGTCCCCCAGGTGTGCCGGGAATGCCAGGACCGACTGGATGGCCTGGACCGGTGGGACCCAAGGTAAGATTAACACACTTAAATTGCTCTCAGAATATGGGTACACTTCTCTTTCAGACCCACAGAGGATTAGACAAATTCACAGAGGATAATCTAATAAGTCTCATGATCTTAACACAACAGTTGCCTCAGGAAGTTTCCAAACCACTCTCTGCTGGGAAGCTGTAACAGCACAAGGACACTCTGCTCTTGCCCTGTTTCCTACCTTCCTCCGCAAAGTTCTGACCAATCTAGGTTAGGATGATGCACCTTCAGCCTAACCCCAATAGCATTCCTATGTTGATTAAATTATGTCAAAGCAAAATTGAAAATCAAGTTCCATGAAGACTCATTGATAGCACCAAATGTCTTTCATAACCACCAGAATCAGTGTTTCCAAAATGATTGGAAATGATTATTTCTTATGATTATCCTTTTGCCTGGAAGTCTATTTCTTGGCAGTTGTGAATGTTCATTTGATCACAGGAAAACACCATGGCAAAGCGGATTAAAACCATTTGGATGATGGTCAGGTATTTCAGGCACAGTTCCACAGACTTGTCCAATTGCCTCTGTAAAAATTTTGCTTGTAATACTGTCCTTACACCTTGACAATGCTTCTGCTGGAGGCTTGACACCAGTGCCACTTGTGCAAAATTCCGTTTCAGTCACTCTTCATAGTCAACAGCAGAAGAAATGGCAGGACATGACATACTTCACTATAGCAGAGTGGCTTCTTCATCTGCATTTATTAGAAAGAATTTACAGGACAGTCCTTTACTGAATATTATCTTATGCAAAAACTCTTCACAGAAGCTAAGTTATATGAATTTTCTCCTGGAGTATCTGATATAGTTGCTTCTCTTCAATTCAGTATGTGAGTATCAGGCAAAAGGACTGCAAATGATGGTTCTTTTGGAAACTATATTTTCCAGTGTATCTGTGACTCTTCATTTGCTCCATGAGGGTTGTGGCACTGTCTTAGAGGGTATGATGTAGTAGCTCTTGCTAGAGAGTGGTAGTGGATGACTTCTGAATTCAAACCACATCAGTAAAGCAGGCCCTCAATCTCATTACTGCTAAATTAGATGAAGAACACCATACTGTAGAGTGTGGGAATATAGGCAAGCAGCAGGGATTTATGTATTGGAAAAGAGTCCGTACCCTTTAACCAAGAGGGAGAAATTAGTGCTCCCCTAAAAGCATCATGTGCTGTGGTTTCCCACTTGACAGCTGTGAGAACAGAAAGAAGACTTCCCTACCTTATTCCCTCACAGCTCGAATACTGAAAGCAGACCCACCAGAAAACCGGTTCACTTTGCTTTTTCCTTACATAAATTTTAGTTTTATTTATGAATTCTTCCCAATGTTGTGCTATTTTTTCCTCTTTGTCTACTGCTATGTTTTTTCATCATTCTCCTTGGAATATTCTTCACATTCAACAGTAATATTCTCCTCTGTGTCTAGCCTGCTGTTTAATTTCTATTCTTCTGCTTTTATCATCTCCTCTGATCTGCATTTCCTCTGTTCTTTAAAGATGTTCTTACCTTCTTTTCTTTTGACCTTCATTTATGCCATTTTCCTGTCAGTTAAGACAACAGTTGGATGGAAGCCATCGGATATCTGCACTTGCTTCCCTAGATTGTGTCCTTTCCTTTCTCTTCCTCTGATCTTTCCAAATTCATGATATCCATCTTTGCTACACCCATTCTTTACATCATCTTGTTGTAAATCTCCAGTGAGGTATTTTTTTGCTTCTCATTCTCATGTCTATGCCTTACATTTCTTCAGCTGGTCCTCATTACTTGTCTGCTTCTCCTTGGATGCAGCCTTGGTTCAGTTCCCATCTCTTCTGTTTTGTTTCTTCAAGGCTTCTTCTCAGAACTTCTGCCAAAGTACCAGTCACTGTGAAAATCCTCTTTGCTACTAGGACAGTGAGAGCCAAAGGAGAAAGAGCGCCAATCATATTCTGCTGGATAAGGCTGCCTCATTTCTTCAGGGACTATTCCATATTTCGACTTAGATAATTAGCTGACAGGACCCAGAGAATTCGTTGCAAAGCCTTTTGGTGATTTTGTGTCTCCAAACCACTGTAAAGCCTATGTTGTCTCAGATTTAATATACAAGTAACTAGGATGTCCCTCCACACCAAAAGACTTGCAGCAAATCCCTTTCTTCTCTGTAATTCTGTGGAAGTGACTTAACATATGATAGGTAGAGGCTATGGCTCTTCAAGCAGAAAAAAAAAATGTTCTGCTGCTTATTTGCTTTTATGCCCTTCCACAGCGTCTGGCAAAATTCAAGCACAAGTTACACACCCCAAAAATGCAAACACAAGAACAAGACAGTATTAGAGGCCTTGGGTGGATTGTGATACACATATAGACTTCTGCTATAGTGCTGCTCCAAGCATTGTAAAAGTCAAGCTTGTCTCCTATATTCGACACAAAACCACGAAACTATCAGACATTCAAGTATTACCTCAACAGAGAGCCACTCACAATCAATAACTCTCTTTATTGACCCCTTTAGGGTGAAAAGGGAGATTTGGGTGTGATGGGATTGCCAGGTACAAGAGGACCAATGGGCTCCAAGGTTTGTTAAACAAATGCTGCATTTTCAGACATCTGTTTTTAATGCTCTGCTGACAGCTGCTTCCCTCATGAATTTGCTAGAAAGCACTTATCAATATATATCTTTTTTTAGAACAGCTAAAAAGATATGCTCTCCTTCAAGTGAGGTTATGCTGTCTGTTTGGTCTTGGCTGTGTTCTTGTCTTTTCATGGAATTGCTCTGGTGTAAGTTGTAACACACAAAATATTTTTTAAAGCAAAGCTCATATATAATTGTATCCCCCCTAGAAACTGGACCTCTTAATTATATGTGCAACATTAACTCATGACTCAAATGTATTTCACCTACCTCATAAGACTGTGTAGATTCTTTTGGTCTCATATTAAAGCATACTTCTGTACTGACAGTTTGAGTAGTAAGCACAATTTGGTCTGGATGTCCTGCTATCTCCATTTGTCTGTAGAACAGCTTCTGCATTTACAAATTTCAGCTGCAATATTTTACTGAACTTGAAAAAATACAAAATTTATTAATTAATATTAATTTTGCAATTAATTAATAATCACCTTCATAATTCAAATAAAGCACTGGAAAGAAAAAATGAATACAGAAGTGTGGTGTATGTTTCTCAAGGAGAAATTCCATAGCAATCTTCACATTAGAAGGTGACTTAAACATCTTTTAAGTACATCTTCCATAAAGGAAAAAATAAAAAGAGGAAAAATATTGCTAAAATAATTTTAGATTATTAATTATGGAAAGCAAGGTTTAATTCACATGCAGTTACAAGTTTATTTTCCTTGTTTTAATTTGAAAAGCAATATCAAACCTGCTGGCTTTACCTGGCTTTTCCGTGTTGGCTTATTGTCTGAATTGTCTTGCCTTTAACTTATTTTTTGAAACTCTGTTTCAGTGCACTTTTAGAAGCTATAAGCATTTATTTGCATTTAGCAGTTGATGAAGTTAATTATTTGTGCTTCACTCTTTTTCTTCACTTTTAAAATACAAACTTGCTTCTTGGGTAATCATGAAAATGCGAAGCGTTAAACTATCTATTGTTCCCTTTAGGGATTTCCTGGAACTAGAGGAGAAAAGGTCAGTATGACAACAATAGAATAAGGTATCATTTAACAATTGGAAACACTTATGTAAGTAAATTAACTCTAGAAATCCGATAATATTGATTGAGGGAAGTCTAAAGGTCCCATTAAAAGATGAAAAGGAATATGCAGAAGGAGAGCAGTCTTGAGGCTTGTGTTAGGATGCTAAAGGAGTAGGTCTTACATCCCATCTTACTGTGAACAATTTATTATAGTGCACTGCACTACAGTTTCCATATTGGTAGAATGGGCATAATAATCCCTATTTATTGATCTGGTTTATTTAAGCTGCATATGATCTTTGTCATGGGGATAGTTTTTACCATAAGCGCATACCATGGGAAATGAACTTGGATGAAGCCAGCTGGAGGAAGAAAAAACATGTTTGGAAATATCATACCCAAGAAAGCACATATTTAATGTAATTAGCCAGGGAGAATGTGCGCCTTCTCCTATCAACTTTAATCTTAATTCTTTTACAGTGTCAGTGAAAGTAATAAGGAAACATTTTAGAATATCTGCCCGCTTTCACACTCAGAAGATCTTCCAATATGCTGCATGGCTCCAAATAGTGCCTCATAGAGGAAAAACATGTTTTGCTTCCATGTGGAATGTAGTAACTAAACTACGTTATCGCCCTGTTATCTCTCCCCAGGGGTCGAGAGGTGACACAGGTGACAAAGGTGTCAAAGGAGACCAGGTACTTTTGAGGGTTTTTTTTGTCTTTCTAAAATGGCCCTGAGCTTAAGTTAAATGATAACCTTGAGGTATTCCTGAGAGCAAATAGGGAGCCCAGAAACATGTCCCTGGGAGGGCCAGGGTGGTGAGGGGAGGAGGTGGCCCCCTGTAATGTCATGGTGGCCCCTGTAATATCACAGTGCCCCTGCCTGTGTCTCAGCGGGCTGGGGATGTCTTGTAGGCAAACTAAACCTGTGCGGTCCATATCCGTGACAGTTTTCCAACATGTTTCTACCTGGGAACATTATATTGTGGTGAGAAACAAGTGAGATCTGTGCCTTATGGGTCCTTTTACCTCAAAAAGGGAAAGCAGCAATGAATCGCAACTCAGGGTTTTTAGAGATATCTACAGGCTGTAGGTGAAACCTGGTGTTCTTCCTTCAATGCCTAAACTGATGCTGCCAATCTTTGCCAAAGCTCACTCCATGTGTTTTAATGATTTTTCTCCTTTTCCTTTCTAGGGAGAAATAGGTTCCCCTGGAATGCTGGGTCAGAAAGTGAGTACGGGGTGTACTGGGGAATTGTGTTAAGGGTTGAATGTCTTCAGAGATGTCTTGTAGTTAGAAAAGATAAAGCATTGAGACCTCGCTGTGGACTTGACCATGACCTTTGGCCCTTTTATCTTAAGAAAAAAAAAAAAGAGATTTAGCTCAGTTTGTTGTTGTTTCTTTCATTTCCAGAACACTGATTTGGATATATGCTTTTTCCCATTTAATATATTCTCCATTATAGACTTCTGATTGGTCTAACTGCTCTTATTTTATATACACAAAGCTAATAAACATTTCCTTCATGATACTCTCCATCAAAATGGTACTGCTATAAATAGCAGTCGTAACCCTGGCCAGTTTGGATTTCACCATTATTCCATACTAGAAAGCCAATTATAATTCAGATTGCATCTCATTTTAGGGATAGAATTCTTAAATGAGAATCATTTTATGAGATAATCCCATTTTGTCTCTGCAATTAGGACAAGGAAATAATGCTTCTAAGGAGGAGAGGAGATCAATGGATTAGCTACCTTCCCTCTTCGTGGATATTTTATATCAAAAATCTTGACAGCAAAGCAAACTGTTGTCAAAAGGGTTGGACAGTTTTGCTCAACAACTTCTCTTCATAACCCCAAGTCTTCTAGAATGCTTCTGATCTCTCCATTTAGCCTTTTCTTTAGGGAAAGCATTTGGGTAAATTGTAAGAGATATTTTTGGCTTTAAATTTTTATAAAAATATTTGATTGTAATTGTGAGTTTCTCAGAAACCAGCTGTGCCAATACAGTATAGAGGAATTGTATGGAGCAAAGCCTCATCCACCTGCTATGTAGAATAAGGCATATATAACCAGGGTAATGCAAATTCCTGTACTTACCTTCTTCTTCCTTTCTCCACACCCACAAAGGGCGAGATGGGTCCGAAGGGGCAGTCTGGAGCACCAGGACACAGAGGACCTATAGGAAGACCAGGAAAACGAGGCAAACAAGTAAGACCTTGTTGTTTTCTCTTCTCTTGACTTAAGTAGTTGTGTCATACGTGCAGCACATCATGGGGAAAATAGTTTTTTCCCTGGACTGGTAACAAACTGGTTGAGGCTCTGGATAAAGGAGGGATTTCAGGTGGTTTTGCTGAAGAATGAAGGATACTTCCACTCCTCTGTCACACTTTGTAGCGTTTAGTTATATATTCCTGCACATTCTGGTCTTTTCTGTGCATGCTACAAACAACATTCTCTTCACTGCAGCTCTAGGCAGGTAGGCAGAGTTGGCCTCTTGTGAGGAACATGTCACTGCCTGTGCCCCCAGCTGTTCCTGAATTTTCTCTGTGACTCACCACTATGGAGAACTATATTACTTCTACTAAGACAGACATTGCTTGTGTACATCAGTAATAGCATCCTCTACACTAAAAATTACATGCTGCAACACATTAAACTATTGTGCAATCTGCATCATGAAAGTCATTGGTCTATACTTCCAAGTCTCAATCCTTTCATGCATTCCTTATTTCTATCACATGCGATAAGCGTTCATCCAGTGTTTTCTTAGGTACTGCATCTGGAGAGCATTTTCTGTTCGCATTATCCAATTTGGCCCTGATGTTGATTAATACAGATGAGACTTCAGAGTTGCGGGGCCTTGGTGATGACTGAAATGCAGTGCAAAGAATCAAAGTACTAAAACATCATCTCTGTTTATTCCTTTCCCTCTGCTAATACTAATACAAGATTGATTTGTCAGTCTGGCTTATTTATATGACACTTCTCACCATCGTACTGCGTGCCAGGGACAGATTCATCTTCTCTGAGAAAGGTCAGGATGAACACTTAATGACTTGAAGGAACGGTAATCTTGTGTGGAATCTGGTATGGAGTGGGATGATGACAAATGGTTCTTATTTAGGATTCAAAATAACTATGCTTGGAGAATTAACTTTTCGGATTTTCAGATAAATTGTGAAGACTGGGAAGTGTGTGTAAATTTGATATTGACCCCTCCAAGGAGGGTCATGCCCATTCTCCAAGGAGTCAGCAAGATTAGTGTTGTTAGCAATCCAAGTGACCAAGTATACTTCTTTGCTTGCATCTTTCCTTGAGTATTTTTTTAAGCAATGGTATTAGGGAAAGCAGGGGAAGGAAGTCCAGCCTGATGCTAAGGAGACCAGTCCTTCTGGGGCTCTGAACTACCTGAGGAGTCCGTGTCTTCCCACTGACTGACAGTGAAGGAGTGAAGGTATGTGTAACATAGGTCTACTAGTTGACCCATCAAGAATAATTTTTGCCATTGAATTAGCACGTTTTGAAAGCCGATGTGTGCACTCTGGCAGTTTTGCCAAGAGTGTTCACCTGTCCTGCCAAAAGACATGTGCACAGATTGCCTTTACGTAGCATAAGAGAGGGAGAAGACACAGTGCCTGCAGGTCACCTCCTGTTCACACAGAGCATATGCACTATCCTTTCTTTTCTGAAATGACTTCCTAGTTCATCTTAGAAATTTTGTTTCATTACACAGTATCTTAGTCATAAGACACTTCATAACTTAAGGCAACAATCGGTGTAACAAAGCAACTGGAGTCTGGTCCTAATCAGGATTTCCAAGTTCACACTTCGATATATAAGCCCTTTCTGAATGTTCTGATTCCAGCATGGTTTCTTTTTGAAAAATGGGTTTCCCTTACTGTAATGCATCAACTAGCTGCTGCTGCTTCTTCTTCTTCTTCTTCTTCTTCTTCTTCTTCTTCTTCTTCTTCTTCTTCTTCTTCCTCTTCTTCTTCTTCTTCTTCTTCTTCTTTAATCCTTTGAAAAACTTGAAAATGGCATTTGAAATCTCTGCAGGTCTTGTTGTCACACTGAAGTTCTGCACTTCTGCAGTTGTTTGTTCAACTGAGATGGTAGATTCCACCAACACGGCCATTTCCTGCCTCTTGATCCAGCTGACATCCCAGATGAAAGCTGCTAAATTGGGAAGGTGTTACTTCCACTTCCATTTTGAGATACATCTTGAGTATCCTTTTGACTTCTTCAACTCTTCTCTGCCTCTGGGGCAGGCTCTGCCTACAAGGTGCCAAGGAGGTGGGATTTGCAAGTCACAGCCTCAGAGTCCTCATGCAGAGATAAACTGCCCGAAGGAATTGGTGCCAGGGAGTGAGTTAGGGTTTCAGCGTTGACAAGGTTAGATGATGTTACTTGAAAAAAAAAGGGAAAGGAATATAAATATTGTCCATGAGAAAAGCTTTTCTGAATGTGAAAAGTGCATGTGAAAAAGTACAAGGCAAAGATATTTAATAGAAAACTCAGTCTTTGTTTAATCTATCTGTGCTAAGCAAGAGAGCTTTAAGCAATCACTCCTACAAAACAGGAGATACAGAAGTCTGACAGCTTTCAGGCAGTTTGTTCTGGCATTGGATTTTCTCTGCCAGGTCTTTATTTTGTGGGAATAGAGATTTCCCACAACCTTTTTTTCAGGAGCTGCCAAGTCTTGCTCTGGCAGTTTTGTGTACTCACGTTGCATAATGTAAGAAGCAATTAGAGATCAGCATCGTGGACATTCACATAAATCTTGGAGTGTTTTGATGGCACAGAGCTAACCTAATAGGATTAAACAAAGCAAATATTCAATTAGATTTTTATGGGCCATGGCAAAAATAACCTTCCTCTGTTAAACGGTGCTAGTGACATTCAAATGTGTTCATGGGATACCACATATTGTGTAACACCAAATTATTTTAGTATATATTACTATGCATGCTTCTTTACTCTGAAAATAGATCTGCAACAGCACATCATTCATATGTGAATGCACATTAACTTGGAATCACACCATCCTCAAGGAATTAATCTCCTTTGGCATTTAAGGAAAGCTAATATAGCACCAATCATTTGTGTTGTTACACAAAAAGCAGATTAGGTATTTGAACTTTAAGCTGTATAATGCACTTGAAATCTAAATCAGTTTGGTAAAGCTGAGAAATCCAAGACTCAGAATAAGAATAAGAAAATAAATATAGTTATAAGTTTGGGGAGCAAAGCCAGGAAGACACTGAACAGTCCCAGGATATATTTCCAAATGCCTAAGGGAATGGCTACACAAACAAGCTCCGAAGAGACAAACCAGAGAGCTGGTTTTAAACTGCATGTAAGCTCCTTTCCCGCAGTCACTTAGTGCATTTGGACTGAGTGACCAGAGGGCCATCATTCACCACCATGTAGCAGGACAGACACCACTCAAAGCTTACACTTTGTAAAGCCAAGCCCTAGCTTACCTTGCAATGACTTGTTAATATAGCTATATCTAAGGGCTATAGCTCAAGGAGATATGGGGACCTAGGCACTTGAAATGCTTTTGAAAATGAAGCATCTGCCTCAAAGCATGAAGTTCAGAAGCATTAGATGCCCCTGAGAAAAAATGCATCCTAAATCTGGGAAACGTCTTTGCTCTTTTTAAAGATAAAATGAATTTATTTCTTTCCATCAGCCTTGCAAAGTCAGCCTAATCTCCAGAAGTCAGAGCTGCTTTCTTTCGCATTAACATAGTAACTGATGATTTTCAGGGTCCACTATTTCACCTGCACCAGTCGTTTCTCTCTGAGTTGCACTGCCTCCTAGATAACTACCACAGATGAAAAAGCATCTTTTAAGAAAGGCCACTGAATGACTTATGTCAGGGCAGAGTGGTTCCTGACTCTGCACAATGCAAATATACTGGTATCATTCACTTTTTTGGGAGCAGGAGCCCTGCTTGAACACACCTTTCTATCTCCATGTGGAAGAGGACAGAGCACCTCTCTCTGGGGTGATGGCTCTGGAGCTCATGCCATGCACTTGTTCCTCTTGGCAAATGTCTCTGCTTTCTTGAAAGGGAAGCCATCACCAGCTGTAGAGGGGGAGAGTTTGTGAGTTATTAATAGTTTAATAAACAAATGGATATCTCCTCTTTCCTAGGGACAAAAGGGAGACATTGGACCTGTGGGAATCATGGGTCCACCTGGAAGGCCTGGTCCTTCAGGCCTGCCAGGCCCCCCTGGACCTTCAGGATCAGGTAAGCAGGGGGTCAGGTAATTTCAGGCCCTTGTGCCTCCTCATTCATCCCTCCTGACTGACCACATCTGCCCATAGAGGCACCTTTACAGAAAATGCTGGAAGGTTTGTTTGTTTCTCCACTTACAGTGAGATTTCTCCAAAAGGAAGGTCATTCCAACCTTGCTCCATTATAGGGGACCTTACACTTTATTTTGAAGCCTTCAGAATGTTTCTGATGCTTCAAATAAAGCTGAAAAATGGGCTTCCTGGTGGGACTGTATTGGATGAGGATGATGAAAGGCTATCTGGCAGCCTTGGAAGAACTGGTTAATCTTCATCATCCAAGGTCTGTTGCTTCGCCAGATACACTAGCTTGCAATGACAGATTGTTATTTCTAATCAACCAGGACATACTCACCCTGAAAAGATCTGTAAAAGAAAAACAGATGAGCCTCAAACCCCAATGACAGTGGGAGAAACAGGAAAGAGAAGGAAAGCGACACGAATTAGAGGGGAGAACCCAGGAGGAAACAAAATTTTCTTATCCATTTTCTTCCCTTTTCTACACTGATGGGTAGGAGAGATCTTCCTTCTGGTGGTGTGGAAATGTCACATAGGGACTACTTCGCAACTACTCTGCGTATATCTTATTATGAAACATCCTTATTCTGAGTAAATTATCTAGAAAATTTTAAAGAACTGGATTTTCAGCATGTCAATGGGAAGGCAGCCAGATCTTGCGATTACTTCTTAAAGGCTTTATTCCATCTCCATAAAGTTTATGTATCAGGCTTGTCAATCTCTTTGCTCTAACATATAAATTCTTCTTCTAAATGACCTTTCTGTAATGATGTCACTGCTTGCAGTATTAACATGATGGCTCATAATTCTGATTCTGCAGACTACTGCGCTCTTGATGCTGTTTGAAAGTCAAAAAGCCTTTTTTCTAAATCTGTTGCATCCTGTTTTTCTAGCTGTGTTTTCCTTTCTAGAACTCTCTGAGACAGCAGTGCCCAGTTGACTCTATATATGCGCAAGTCACATGCAGATGTAATGCAAAGACTGACTAACACTTCACTACAGTCACTGCACAGGTGCTATAGAGTAATTACGTGTGCGTCATGGCCTGAAGTTCTATAGCTTCAATCATATTGATACTTACCTGGAAATCATAAGCAAATGGCCAAACTCTATAAAGTTGGTAGAAAAAAATAAATGTGATCTGAAAGAAAAAGAATGTGATACAAGCTCTAGTTTTTCTCCTAAGGTGCTAGAATTGGTGGTAACGACTTCCCTCAGCTCTCAGTGGGTTTGCTGGGAGATGTGAATTTCTGAACATTTTTGTAAGCGCATATTCACCTGGCAAGTCCTTTTTCTGCTGAAATTGTGCTTGTGTTTCGTATGGTAACTTTCCCACACAGCAATCTGTTGTTTTGTTTCCTAGGACAGTTAGCAATAGGACCAAAAGGAGAAAGAGGACTTCCAGGGCCTCCAGGAAGATGTCTCTGCAGATCCCCACACAATGTGAATAGTCCACCATATGAGGAATCTGTGTTTGGACACAGCTATCCAAAAGTCCCCGCGGTAAGCAGATTTTCTAGGAGAGAGCAGCAACTGTTCTTAAGTAGTTTTTTCAATAAGAGGTGTTATGTTTGCTAACATTTTGGATTTAACAAGGAAGATGTCTGTATGTGGGCAGTGTGCTATTTCTACTATCCAAAACCTTTGAGCTCCAGTCAGTGCAAAAGAATTTAATCTCATATCTAGTTCTGAGGGATGTGTAAGTGAGATGCTGAAATACAGCTATCTTGAAACAGTAAGTAGGGTGGCACATTTTTGGAAACCTTTTTTTAAATATGAGGATGCTTTCCTCAGCCTTACTCTACATGCACAATCTGGTCTTACTGGAGTCAACTGCAGTGTCTTTCTGGTCGGCTGGTGAAGTGTCTCTTTTTTTTTTTTTTTGCTTGTATTTTGTGTGTGCAAACTCAGTGATTTCAGAATTGAATATCAAGGTCAAGCATATAGCGTGCACATACATAGTACTTTCCCCCAAAACACAAGCCCTCTACCTTGAATGCAAAAAGACTCTACAAACCATGGGAGTCAGACTTCTGAGCTCCTGTCTGTAGAGGAACACTTTATACAGCCCAATTTCTCTAGCTTTCTTGAAAGCATTTTTATGAGCAGATTGGACAAAGTGCTCTGAAGGACAAGTCACTGCTGGCAAGTGATGTAGGACTTCTCTCTCTGCTCTCTTTAGGCTTTGTAAATGCTATACCTGTACTTTTCCTTCAGCTGGGCCCTGCCTTATTATTCTTTGCACGGTAGCACTTAATCAGCAATGAAAATGCTGCCTTTCTGCTGCTGCATGGGTGCAAGCATGCATGGGTGCAAACATGCATGGCCCCGTCACCTGGAAAGAGGGGTGTTGCATGATGTATTGCCGGCAGCTGACAACACCCAGCAGTAAGTTAATAAAGATGTAACCAACTAAAACACAAATAACCCACAGCCATCTCTGTGAACTCTCATTTGGTCACAGCCGAGCGCAATTTCCGCTGCTGGGAGTAAAGGGACAACGAAGAGGCAGGGAGGGAAGCCACACAAATCTCTGCTCTCATCCTCTCTGAAAGTGGAGCAATTGCTGAGCCACACTCCCCAATTGCTCGTCCAGTTCGTTTTACTACCTTAACTGTCAAGAGCATGAGTTTAGAACCCCACACAGCAGCATCTGAGTGTATTTTTAAAAAACATTTTGTAGCTTCCGAGACCAGGATCTATAACTTGAGAGAATACAGATCTTCCATTGAGTTTACCAGAAATGAGAGCTCTGAGGCTTGGACTTTAGCTCCTGAACACAATTACAGAATCTGTTCTTTGTTGCCTATTTCTTTGCTTTCTTTCATTCGAGCTGAAGGCATTTTTATTCAATGCTTCTTTAATGATATTGGCCTTTGTCAGGGGCTCTGGGAATATTCCGCTGTGTTAAAATTTCAGGGTAATTTGTTTTTTAAAAAGGCCAATTCTATTTATGCTGGTGGGAATCAGGCTCAGGCAGTACGTTACTAAATCTATTTTGCTCAGAAACATTCCATTTTCTTTTTCTTAATTTAAAAATGGTTTGAATTTTGCTAAACTTAATTTGATTAAAATGCTGAAAGAAGAGATTTTTTCCTAATGCCTCTTATAGCCAATTTCAATGTCTGAGACACTAAAAGAATTTGGGTAGAGGAGCTCATCCTAATTCTCTCTACTTTGAACCTTTTTTTTTCTGCTTAATTGAAGACCTTGCTTTAGATTGAAGTGTATGCTTGTAAAGCAATATGCAACTCAATGCTAATTAGATCTAAATAAAATATTAAAAGATAAGTGAAAGCTACACTGCGGAAAACATTATTTATGTTGTAGTCACAAGCATGCCTGAACAATTATAGAAAAGCCCTCAAAGAGCACTTATGCCTTTACGGGTTTTGTAGTCGTTCCTGTATCTAAACATTGAGCATCTGAATTTTTTCGCAGCAATGATCATGATACGAATATTTGCATGTCATTACCTGTCATTTTGAGATAAGGTCATTGGAGTCTTAATTTGGTCCCCAGAAAAGACCATTATCTCTTATAACCTCTTCTCTTTAACAGATACAAAGCACCTCTTACTATCTTGCAGAGCATGAACTAGCATGGGGTTTTGCACTACCATTCTGCTTCCAAAAACAACCAACCCATTTTTCTGCGCAGTTACTTATGTAGTTGCTGATACAGATGTCAGCCTGTGAAACTAGATTCCACAGCAAACAAAAGACCTACTGAAAGGGTTACGAATCACCTGTTTTTCTCTCCCAGATTTTTGTGGTGAACAACCAAGAAGAATTGGAACGGTTAAACACCGAAAATGCCTTAGCATTTAGAAGAGATCAAAGATCTTTGTATTTCAAGGATACCATTGGGTGGCTCCCAATCCAGGTGAAAATATGACTATTATCTATGAAAACTTGCAAGTGTATGCTTCATTTTCAAATACAGTGCCTATTCTTGAACTTAAGATATGATGCAGAATCAACCAAACAAATGAAGAAAGGCCTCATTCCTGAGCACTGGCACAACCATTTTAGTTCTGTACTTTTTGTTCACAGAAGTCTCAATTATTGAGGCATTAACTCATCAGTGTGCCAGATTTTGCTAACTTCTCCGTGCACCGTGCTCCAGGAGTGAACAAGGGAATTGTGGTTGTTATGAGAGTCTGATTTAGCACAAAAATAAGGCGAAACCCATCAGAGTGCCAAGCTGGCAGCAAGTACATAACCCTGCGAATTGAAGCCTGGTGTATCCTTACTGCCCCAAGGGCCTGAGCCAGCCCCAGGGTAATCTGCAGAAGATTCCTTAACAGACTTGGCACCAGTCTCTGTATAACCCCTATTAATCACTAAATAGGATAAGACTTGCAGGATAATCACCTGCAGGATAAGAAAACCTAGTTGCCACAGACAATTCTGCTGCTTGCGCGTTAACTGCCGCGTGTTTTTCCGGCCAGCTCAGCCCTCTCTACCCCGTGGGTTACCCCGTGGAGCACGGCGGCACGTGTGGAGACGGCATCGTGCAGGCCGGGGAAGAGTGCGATGACGGCAACACGGTGGCGACCGATGACTGCGTGGGTGAGTTGGGGCCGGCTCGAGTTTTCTTTTCCACTGATAAATCCCTCTGTTTTTAGGCCAGCTTTCTAAGGAAACAAGAGGTAGGTGGACACTCTGTGTGTGGATTTGTCTACCTACCTGCCAGTCACCAGACTTCCCCTTCCAACATGGGAACCTCTTGACATTTTTGCATTTGAAAACAAGAGAACTGAAAGGCAATACAGCTACAAGAGGTATAGCAAGCAGAGCCATATAGGTAAACTCCCCTCTAGGCTTGCCTGACCATGGGAGCCATCCAGGGAGATGCAGCAACCTCTCAGGCTCCAGGCACGAGAAAATAATTCAGTTAGGATTTGCAGTTAGCCATGAGCAACAGGCCTGCAGGAAAGCAGTGCTCTAGTCCCAGTGCTCGCACAGCTGTACGGCATGTATGGTGTGCATGGTATGTATGGTATGCATGCATCTGGAAGCCCCTCGTGTTACTCCGTGCTGTGCACTGCTCTTCCAGTGAATAGAGGCCTTGCAGCAGGGAAACTCCATGCGCTGATGTGTCCTGGCCTGCGAAGTTATTACTGAATTATGCAGCCATGAGCACATGGTCATTGGTGGGTTCCCAAGCACCCGTGTGCCTCTGTCAGTTGTTCTCTTTTCAGAAGGTGGTGGTGAACTGAATGTTTAATTGGGTTTAATTGGACACGAAGCTCGTAGTTCCGAGGAGCAGCAGTTTCTGATAAGCAGATCATTGGTGCAATTAATGAATTATCTGTGAGATTTATAAGATGAACACATGGTTAGTAAATGACCCACTTCTAATTCATACAAACTTTCTATCCTTCAGTGTCCTTTTAATGTGCCTAATAAAAATGCCTTTGAGGAGGAGTAATAGGGATCTTAGGCAAATGAATCTGTTTTCAGCTTACAAAGTCATACTCAAAAAGTTGGAGACATCAAAAGCAAAGTCTGTCTGTTGAAGTACAGTCCATAAATTACTGCAGCCTCCCCTCCACCTACCAAGAAAAAATGTCTCAGGTCCTACTCACACTGAAGACAGTAAGAATTAGTGAGAAAAAAAAACTTTTTTTGCAACCATTACATGCTTATTTTTATTTTATTTTTTTTGATGAAGAGACAATAGGTGTGCATAATCTTCTTTGCGTGGGGGAGCTCACTTGCAGTAGGCATGTGTGGATAGTACTTGATGTTGGGTCAAGATTCAACCTGGGAACCTGGGATTTTCAAACCGCTTAACGATTTTGAAATGCTTTTTTTTTTTTTTTTTTGGAAAATGTGACCTCTTCAAATCATTTATTTTAACTGTATTGTATTCCTTTGATTTTCTCCTATAGTAATTATCTATAGTAGCATTATCTATTGTAATTATTGTGGTTGTAATTATGGCTCAGACAGTGATTATTTATGGCATTTCTTTTCTTCATCACCCAAATAAGGCTAAAGAAAGAATGTTCTTTGTAGTGAAGAATATTGCATCTCCTAGGACAGAGGTCCCTATAGTCAGAGTCCTTATAAGATACCCCTCTCCAAAGCCTTGTTTTATGCTCTGACCTTAAAAATCCAGTCCCACTTGTGGTACAGTGTTTCTGTCTGTATTTTGGACTAGGATGCCGCCGTGCTTACTGTGGTGATGGCTACAGACACGAGGGGGTTGAAGACTGCGATGGGAAGGACTTTGGCTACTTAACGTGTAAAACATATCTCCCTGGGTATGTATGAACTGTCTCTTGCTTCACCATTAGCATTAAAAGAGAAAAGCATTGCCAGGTGTATCTTGTTCAGCTGGGACCGCTGAAGGGAGTGGGGGGAAGAAAGACTGTTAGAATCTTTCCATGGTCTAAATGTCACTTCTCCATTATATGCACACAATTCCTATTGGGATAAATGAATGAAGATCACATGGGCATACATTTGACTATTATTTGCAAAGATTTCCTCATTTTGGGAACGTTAACGTTATTTTAATGTCCACTCATAACATACCAACAATAGGAAAGACCATGATGATCAAATGAGGAAAAAAAGAGCATCGATCAATCTCCTTCTGCCCTTACCCTTAAGTCTAGGGATACTCTAGGAGCATCTTTGTTTCTGAACCAACCATGCCAACCTTTCCAAAGACTAGGAAATTCACTCAACAGCAATGGAAAGCCATACAACTGCTTTGCACTGTCTTTCTGCGAAGCATCTGCTTATTGTTGAGTTGCCTTCTCTGCATTTGCTTAAATAGCTTCCTTGGGTCAGCATTTTGCCTCCAACAGCAGTACCTCTATTTAGCTGTCAGGTATTGTTACTGGCTAGCAGGAAACATTTAATTTGCAAATGGAATTATGTGCAGAGCCCTCATCATTCAGGAGAGAATAATGTGCTAATTGACAGGAGTAAGAAACCGCAGGACATCTTTGTAAATCAAGAGCTGTGCTAATCCTTCCCTTGCGATTGCTGGAGCACTCCTGGTGCAAGAGATTACTGAAAGTGAGACTAGCAAAACTGACAAAATATTTTATGGATCATATCTTCAAGAGAGTGTTGAGCTATCTGCTTGTAAAAACAGTTCCCTTTTCAAAGTCAGAAGTTAGATGCCAAGAATAAGTCCTGCGAAAACATGAGTTTCTTTTTCTGTATTTCATTTTCCACATGTAATCAAGTTTTGAAGAATGACTGAAATCCTCTGTTTTTGTGTATGCAGCTTGTTGAATATCTGCTAAAAGAAAAGACAAGGTGTGACTCATCAGGACAGTGAGAGAAATATGTGAGCTTGGCAGTCAAAAGGAGTTTCCTCCCAAAGCAGCCTCGCCTCCAGTAGCTCTGCTGCAGCTGATTTTCCTATATCCTATTTTTCCAGTGTCAAAATCCCTCCCTCATATTCCACTCACCTTTGTTTCAGATTTTGTGTTGGTTTTCTGAGAATGTGGATTTTCTGAGGACATATTTTAAAGAACCCATGCTTTTGAATGCATTATTCACTTGAACATATGTTAGCAATAAAAACTGATCAAAACTGCTTTTTTTTTTTTTTATTAACATCTCTGGTCAGGTCTTTAGTACATAGAACCACTGCAGCTCTGTTTAATGGAAAGATTTAAAAAGATCTCATTTTTTTTCCTTATCTCATGAGTATCCCCATACATACACACCCTGTAAGCAAAACTTGCATCTAATGCTATTGTATAAGCCTTGTAGGTGCTCTAGGTGTCCCTGCTTGAGCAGGGGAGGGTGGACTAGATGGTCTTTAAATGTCTCTTCCAACCTCAACTGTTCTATGATTCTGTGATTCTGTGTCATGTTTTTATTTCACTAGATACTCTTTCAATGGTGGGCGTGTGGCACTATCATTATTTCATGGATGTGTAAAACAAGTCAAAGAAAATTCAAAGTCACGCCTGCTGAAGCTATTGGAAGTTACTCGAAAATGCTTAACTCAGATATTTAGTTGTACAGTTCCCACCCACAAGGATGGCAGGAATTAAACCAAAATCTCAGTGTCAGGGACCTAGTGATTGCCCAAAGAATTTACAGCTGCCTGGAGCTGCTGTTGAGGCCTCCTCCATGTACCCTGGCCAACATACAGGCTCCTCTCAATGGGGATTTTTTTCTTAATTGGCATTAGTGGGAACTAGTATTTGCTGCCAAGGGGGAGCACAGTAGAGCACTACTGGAAATTGCTCCTTTGTTTTGGTTGCCAAATGTCGCTGCTGATTGCCTTGATTCCTGCAGTGTTTGCCTCCAGAAGCTACATTCATAGCATGAACTGCAGCATATTTTGGAGCTGATATCTTTCTCTTTCATTTTAGGTCTTATGGAAAATTACGATGCACTTCTTACTGCTACATTGACTCTACACAGTGTCGATATTTCACATGAGGGGAGCGCAGCGGTGAGTAGCATCCCACGTGTAACGGGGATGCTAGGTGCTACACACTCATCTACCCAAGGAGGACTGGGGCAAAAAGAAAACAGAAAAAAAACTCTGTGTGAAAATAAACAAGTCATGCTGCTGATGGCCATTTTTTTTTAAATTAAGTCAGATTAGAGAAAAGTAGGACCACTGCATCCTGTCTTAATAGAAAAATGTCAAACGGTGTTTGCCAGTAAGACTTTCCCACAGCTCCATGTGGGAACTTGCTCTCTATCAAAAATGCAACATTAAACTACTGGAAAAGGAATTTCACTAGCCAGGAACATTGCGTATTAATACAACATTACCTCGACTTAGCACTGTTAGACCTAAATGTAAATTCTTCAGGGTTTTTGTTTTTAAACCTTCTGGGCGTAAACACAATGCATATCTTGGATGCGGTGTTTATACAGACTCATGGCTCTTTTATGACAATG